TATTAACGTTATTTGTTAGGGATGGTGCACTAAACTAAACCGCCGGGAACTGAGAATCGGGTTTCCAAATAAATCGCACGCCTTCTTTATCCCTTAACCCAAATACCGTTTATTAAATAAAGTAAACCAAAGAAAGTATAAACTTTATATAAGGAAAAGGCCGAGAGACGAATCAGACTCTAACTCCTTATCCCCGGTGCACTTCACCCTGTCTCTTCCTTATTGTTTCCTGAAAATATAGGAAGACGAATATGATTAAAGTGGTGTGGACTACCGTATAATTGCGGCGGCACGATCAGAGTACAATTCTTCCTCTGGTGCCGCAAATAATTTGTAAAAGCGCTGTCTTAGAAAAGTCGGAGTGTTGTAAGCACTCCGAACTGTTTCCTTAACAGTTCACGCTGGTGCACTGCGAAATACAATTCGCAGGGAGCTCGGTGACGAACACGTCGCGCCTCTCTGGTACTGTTTTAAATTCCCTAAGGAAAACCTTGGTGGGCCTACAACTGCGACCGGGGTCCCGGGCCGATACCGGTATGCCGTAACGCAGGAGGATGCACCGGTCAGCACCAGGCGTAACACCGGTTACAACTGAACGTTGCAGAGCGGGTATGTGACCACGACGCCGTGACAAGCTGCAATTCCGATCACCACACAGGCAAAGGGCTTCCGACTTTAAACGGTCCCGATCGAAATGCACTGCTCTACCAGCGAGACTCGCTATTTACAAAACTCGAAGGAAACGCCTTCGAGTATCTCTCGAATATTTAGAATCGAGGGGAAGAGAGAAATCTTCTCGGTGCAATGTATCTTTACCGATATATTGCACTGGAAATTAGGATTTTATTATCACGCAGCGAACAGCTGATTTTAATCCGGCAAGGAGACGGAATTCCTCTACGTCATTAACCCTTTGAGTGCTATGGGCGCACATATGCGTCCAACGAAAGTCATCGCTGTAGACTATGGACGCAAATACGCGCTCAGCAGATGTCATCAGTATAGACTATGGACGCAAATACGCGTCTGGCAAAAGTGATCAGGATACACCATAACAATGCAGAAAATGCGACGTATATACATATATACACTATTCCATTGTCTATGTGTGCGTGTATATATGCATATATATATGTATATACATATATATNTATCCGGCTCGAAGGACCAAAATGTTAGGGATGGTGCCCTAAACTAAACTGCCGGGAATAGAGAATCGGGTTTGTAAAATAAAATGCACGCCGTCGATTTCCCTTAAACCCAAATACCGTTTATTCAATTAAACTAAGGAGTATTCAATACAAAATCGAGACGGATCAGAATATAAACTCCTGTCCCCGGTGCACTTCACCCTGTCTCTTCCTTATTAATTTCTGAAACTAGAGGGAAACGAATATGATTAAAGTGGCGTGGACTGCCGTATAATTGCGGCGGCACGATCAGAGTACAACTCTTCCTCTCGTGCCGCAAATAATTTGTAACAGCGCTGTCTTAGAAAAGTCGGAGTGTTGTAAGCACTCCGAACTGTTTCCTTAACAGCTCACGCTGGTGCACTGCGAAATACAATTCGCAGGGAGCTCGGTGACGAACACGTCGCGCCTCTCTGGTACTGTTTTAAATTCCCTAAGGAAAACCTCGGTGGGCCTACAACTGCGACCGGGGTCCCGGGCCGATACCGGTATGCCGTAACGCAGGAGGATGCACCGGTCAGCACCAGGCGTAACACCGGTTACAACTGAACGTTGCAGAGCGGGTATGTGACCACGACGCCGTGACAAGCTGCAATTCCGATCACCACACAGGCAAAGGGCTTCCGACTTTAAACGGTCCCGATCGAAATGCACTGCTCTACCAGCGAGACTCGCTATTTACAAAACTCGAAGGAAACGCCTTCGAGTATCTCTCGATTATTTAGAATCGAGGGGAAGAGAGAAATCCTCTCGGTGCAATATATCTTTACCGATATATTGCACTGGAAATTAGGATTTTAATAATACGCAGCGAACAGCTGAATTAAATCCGGATAGGAGACGGAATAACTCTACGTCATAAAACGGATTAATTTCGTCTAGCGAGAGCCTTCGCAGACGACGGTACGCATACGATACCTTCTCACACGACAATGATTCTTCGAAACCGTTCGCGGTTCGAAGTACCGATACGCGCTCTTTGTCTAAATACAACGCGTCTCTCTCGCACTCGTAACCCAGGCGTATACACGCCTCGATGAGTCACGGCTCGCGGCTATAAGAAATAGACCGCGAGTTATAAGAAATTTGCCATAACAAGTTGGCTTAACCGTCTCGTTTATTTTAAATTCTCGCGAACATATAATATATTAATCTATCGACTGACTAACTAAACGTTAATTTCTTCGTCGGATAAAATTCCGGATTTGTATAATACGTGCGGAGACGCATGATACGCAATGCAGCTCCTCCGACTTATACGTATTTTTAACATCATTGTTTTCAAACGTTCGCCACGCTATGACACACAAAATCGATAATGTCTATTTCTGGACGGATTCCACCATCGTTTTAAATTGGCTCAACAAGGAACCGTTGGCACTAAAAACGTTCGTTGCTAATCGAGTAGCCGAAATTCAATCAAAAACTAACATTTCTACACGGCGTCACGTGAGGTCTAGCGATAACCCGGCAGACTTAATTTCGCGCGGAGAGAAACCATCTCAATTTTTAAAGGATGCAATATGGCAATATGGACCAAAATGGTTATCAAGGAACGAATCGACTTGGCCAGAATCCATTTTTTCATTATCCATAGAAGTTCCAGAATGACGGTCACTGTCTTGTTTTGTAACGACGACGAACGAACATAATGAAATTCTCGAACGTTACTCCGACATTAATCGTCTTCGCAGGATCATCGCATATTGTCTGCGCTTTAAGGCAAATCGTCGTACCACGAACACAATCACTGCCGAAGAAGTTCATGATGCAAACGAGCGGATCATGAAACTTGTTCAAGCCTCTGTTTTCAATCGAGAGATCCACAGTTTAAAAAAGGGAAATACACTACATCCGAAAAGCAAGCTTCTTCCATTACATCCATTCATAGACGAGAAAGGTCTCTTACGTGTCGGAGGCCGCTTGCAAAATGCAAACATCCCGTTCGAACAAAAACATCCGATTCTACTTCCAAAGAACAATCACATAACGAATTTAATTTTACGTCAAGCCCATTTAGAAGGACATCATGCAGGCATTAATACAACCTTGTTTAACGTGCGACAACGATATTGGTCTGTCGACGGAAAAGGCCAAGTTAAGCGGATCATTCGTCAATGCGTCAAATGCCTTCGCGTAAATCCACCGGCTACAAATTACATAATGGGTTCTTTACTTGCGGCACGCGTTTCGGTGTGTCGCCCTTTTTCTATTTGCTATATTATTGCGGCATTGATTACTGCGGCCCTTTTTACATCAAAGAAAAGAGATATCGGAACCGTACTCGTTTGAAGGTATACGTAGCGGTCTTTATATGCTTCTCAACGAAAGCGGTCCATCTCGAGGTCGTCAGCGATATGACCACCGAAGCATTCATTGCAGCTTTAAAACGTTTCATCGCATGAAGAGGAATCTGTTGCAATATATATTCGGATGACGGTACTAACTTCGTAGGTGCCAACAACGAGCTAAACGAAGTCTATCAAATGTTGCAGAAGGATGATAAAATTCAATGTTTCCTCACGGACAAGGAAATCTCGTGGCATTTCATGCCACCTTATTCACCCAATTTCGGCGGTTTATGGGAAGCAGCCGTTAAATCGTTCAAATATCACGTGAAACGGGTAGTCGGAGACGAATTGTTCACGTACGAACAATTTAACGCGTTCGTTATTGAGATCGAGGCGATTCTCAATTCCCGTCCACTCACGCCATTGTCATCCGATCCAAATGACCTTTCTACCTTAACCCCTGCACACTTCCTGATTGGTACTTCGGTTTGCCCGAGATTGATTTCAGCCGTAGTCCATGTAATCGGTTGTCGAATTGGCAACACATTCGAAAGGTTAAGCAGGATTTCTGGATTCGATGGCACAAGGAGTACATCAACCAATTGAACGTACGCAAGAAGTGGAGTAAGGGCTCTCACGAGATCAAGGAGGGTTCCCTCATCATATTGAAGGACGATCATCTTCCGCCACTGCAGTGGCACCTGGGCCGGGTCGAAAAGGTTCATCCCGGTCCTGACAACATCATCCGAGCGGTCACCATTGGGACCATCCAGGGGACCTACAGGCGCAACGTCCAACAATTCCGATACAAGAGGACCGACCCGAACATTAACAGGGTCCAGACATACGAGCCATTCGCGGCTGGACAAGACATCAAAACATCTTGAGCGACAAGTCCCTCAACGGGGGGAGCATGTTCCGTTCGAAGGAACAACAACGTTAAAGTGGAGGCTTCGTCGGGACAGTTTATGGCAAGAACGTGCGGGAAAGGTCATTTTTGAGGATTTAAGTTCTTTCCTATTTTTTTTTTTACGACTGGCTAACGGCATGCCATGTTATTTTGTCTATTTTATCCTTTTTCTTTCATATCTCAATGACCAACCTTGCCATAAACTGGGGTTCCAAAGGGTATTAAGCAAACGTCCGGCTTAATGGTCCGTCATGCGGTGACCACTTGGAGGAACTTTCCAGGTTCGTCCGGTCCCTTCGAAGGCCCCACACGTTTCGCGAAATTTAAGTCCCACCTCGTTAAGTGGTGACATATTTTTAAGAAAAGCCTAGGAAAAGAGGGTCCGGGTCTTAGGATAGAAGTCGTGCAGCAGTCGTGCAGAACGAAACAAGTCAGAACGTTCGGTCAGCATCATTCAGAGCGGCATCAAGTTTCGACATTGGTTTTGGACATTTAATTTTTTGAAACAGATACACAAAGTTAATTCGGCGTGTATCAGGTGCACTTCACGACGCATCACTACCATTTAATCAAGGAATTGCACTATTGGGAGAATCAAAGGCAATAGCGATGAAGCGGTTCATTCTACTCGAAAGAAAACTCCAAAAAGACGTGACGTTAAAAACCGACTACCATGCACTTATACAGGAATATCTAGATTTAGGACACATGTCTGAGGTCACAACAAACGAACTCGTGGACGATGGGTACTATCTGCCACATCACGGTGTGATTAAGGAAACGAATCAAACGACTAAACTCAGAGTGGTATTCGATGCGTCGGCCAAAAGCAACAACGGTATATCCTTGAATGATACGCTTCATATCGGTCCGAAAATACAGGAAGATCTATTATTTATACTTCTCAGATTCAGCATTCATCAATATATCATCACTGGCGACATTGAAAAAATGTACAGACAATTCTTGATCCGATCACAAGATAGGAAGTATTAACGTATATTATGGCGCGACTCCAACGGACAAATCAAGACTTACGAATTAAATACAGTGACTTTCGGAGTATCAGCAGCCCCATATCTCGCTATACGTTGCCTCAAGCAATTGGCCGATGACGAAGGACATCGTTTTCCAACCGGTTCGGTAATACTTAAAAGAGACTTTTACGTAGACGACGTACTTACGGGAGCAGCAACTAAGACAGAAACAATTACCATCAGACGAGTACTTAGTAATCTGCTCAAATCAGCTGGACTGAGAATCCGACAGTGGGCGTCGAATGCAAAAGAACTTTTACAAGGATTACCTGAACAATATATTAACATAAATTGCACTTCGGCGAATCCTCAACATTAAAGACACTTGGAATTGTGTGGAATTCCATAGACGATTCTATCCTATATTCGGTCAAGATCACAACTTCATTCACTCAGATCACAAAACGAAGAGTAAACTCGGAGATTGCAAAAATTTACGATCCATTGGGGCTCCTCGCACCTGTGATCATCAAGGCAAAAATGTTATTACAAAACATCTGGCCTTTAAAAATAGACTGGGACGAATCACTCCCATTAGCCATCCATACGGAATGGATCCATTATTATACAAAATTGGCGTTACTGAATAATGTCACCTTTCAACGCAAAACTATTATAAAATCCGCGGTGGAAATCGAACTGCATGGGTTCTGCGATGCGAGTGAGAAGGCTTATGGTGCTTGTGTCTATCTCCGTTCCACTGATGCGGATGGTCATATTAAGGTCGAACTCTTGTCAGCAAGGTCAAGAGCAGCGCCTCTTAAACAACAAACCATTCCTCGACTAGAATTATGTGGAGCAGTACTTCTCACATCATTAACCCCAACCGTGTAGGTTGCCCTAAAGGGCCCTAAACTTAAAATTGAATTGCACTGTTTACTGGACAGATTCTACAATTGTTCTCCATTGGGTGAATACATCCCCACATTTGTTAAAGACTTTCGTTGCAAAATGGCGACATGTTCGAACTATAGACAATCCTGCAGATCTCATATCGCAAGGTCAATCTCCCGAAGAATTTCTAGAACCAACCATCTGGTATCACGGACCAACCTGGCTTTTAGGGAACGAGAACCACTGACCATCGTGTAATTTGTTACCAATAACCATCACACCAGAACATAAGAAACTAGTCTGTCTAACTACGACATCCATTGATAGCGACATTCTTAATAGATATTCGTCATGGCCCAAGCTCATTCGAATCGTCGTTCGATGTCTACAATGGAGAAGAAAAGAGAACAGAAGGGCATTTCTTACAGTGCGAGCACTTAATCAAGCGCACGATGTACTCATAAAAATGGTCCAGAATTTCTACTTCCCATCCGAGATTCTGTATTTGACAAGACATAAGGAGACAGAAATACGAGGAAAATTACAGAGATTAAATCCATTTATTGATAAAGACGGGATACTGCGGGTCGAAGGTCGCCTGAAAAATTCTCCCATGGCATTTTCACAAAACCACCCCATTATTTTGCCGAAGGCATCCATCACGAGAATTATTATTGAAAACGAACATCGAATGCATCTTCATTCAGGAACTCAAGCAACATTATATGCCGTTCGTAAGTCTTATTGGCCAATCGACGGTCAAAGTCAAGTATGGCAAACAATTAAGAAGTGCTTATCTTGTTGCCGAGCTAATCCACTGTCCGTAGAATACATCATGGGTAATTTACTAGAAGCAAGGGTCACGCCATCTCGTCCCTTCAGTATCTGACCAGACACGAAACAAAAAACACGTTTGTAAAACACACCAATTTTTCATGTTCATAGTGCAGCTGGACATGTCTGAGAATTTTCTCAGATTCTTTCGTTGCAAAATGTAGCCGTAAAAAATAAAAAAGTACCAAAAAGTAATT